TTCTGGTCATCAGGGAAGTAGAGGAGATGGAGAAGAGATGGGTCAAAGAAAGCCTTCTCCGAGGAGGTGACTGCCTCCTTGCTGGCCTTGAAAGCCAAGTGCAGGTGGCCTGCAGCCAGCTCGGCCAGGGCGCTCTGGGCTGAGGCCACTGCTCGGTACACCTGCGTGGAGACAACACCGATGGTCAGTGTCTGCCAGAGGACAGGACAGAAACGAGCCTGGAGGCTTCACTTGCAGCACCACACCAGCAAGAGCTCATGGTCTGCAGAGGGACAGTGACACGCAGTCCCCTCCTCGCCTCATGGAGCCCCAGCCCTACCTCAGAGGCAACATCATCTTTGATGACGATGTTCCCGATCTTGTCCAGGAGCTGGGCTAACGAGGTCAAGGTAGTGGACACAGTGGCAATGTTCTCCACAGTGTGGGCCCAGAGCAGGCGGTCCAGCTCCCAGTCAGCCAGCCCCTCATTCCCAGGGCTTTCCAGCAGGAACTCAGGGGGCAGTTCTTCCCGTGATAACCCAAAGAGTAACCTGGGAGCAGAGGGGAAGGTCACAGCACACATCACAAGCGTGCATCCCACACATGCTCCCTGCTCCTCCCCTTGCCTGCTGCATTCAGCCTGGGCAGGGTTCAATCATGCTTAATGGCCTCCTGGATGCAAGGTAGGAGAAGACAAGTCCCCTGCCTCAGGTTATGGGAGATGCACCAGCACCTCTGGCCAGAGAGTAGAGCTGACTGGCGGTCAACACCTCAAAGGCCACGAAAAGCCACCCTCAGCCTCCCCAAGACTACAGAGGAGTGAGCGAGCTGCATGGGTACAGCTTGCTCTGACCCCAACTTCCACATGTGCCAGGAGAGCACACAGAGGACCAGGGAGGGAAGAGCTCATCCTCACCGGAGCTGGGCCAGGAAAACCTCCATCACTCGCACCATGTCCACATCTACGTGCAACGGGAGGGAGGCTTCAGGTGAAGCAGGGGCTTCAACGTTGTAAATCTGCAGGAGATCGTGTCAGCAAGGTACAGGCAGAGCGCCCTGGGGCTCCATGGGGATGGGGAGCCTCGTCCCAGCACCCCCGTAGCTCCGTACCATGATGCCGCCCCAGCGAGGACTGTGGAAGGCGTTGGTGCTCACTGGGGCTCCATCCTTGTCCTGGATGTAGAGAGGGGAGTGGGAGCGCTCCGGCACGTACAGCAGGAAGTTCAGCACAGGGTAGAGCGAGGCAGCACTGGAGCCTGGAGTGGAACAGAGTCAAAGAACTCCTCTGGCTCCTCCCCAGTGAGAGCAGACGGGCCGTGGGCAGCGCTGGGGCACAGCCCAGCCCTGCTCCTCCTCCTGCAGGAAGCCCCAAGCAGAACCACCAGCCCGACAGGTCCCAGTCACCCTCGCTCCCACCCAGGCCTGGCAGGGCACGGTGCCGTGGGGAGGGAAGGGGCACAGCCTGCAGACAGAGCTGTCCCCTGCCCTCAGCAGGGCCCATGCTGGAGCATGCTGCTCACCCAGCCGGGCCTCCACGGGGTTGATGACGTGTGGGAGGCTGTGAGCACTCAGAAGGAAGCTGGAGGACTCCTTGTCAAAGCGTGGTGTCACTCCTAGGACGGCATAGTACAGGATCTGCAGGCACACGGCAAAGACATTTCTGGCAGAGAAGCACATCCCAGGGCACGAGGGAGGCCAGGCCTGGGCTCTCCCCAGCACCCACCTGCGAGTCAACAGAGAAGTTGGCCACCAAGCTCAGTTTGTCCAGGACAGGCTGCACGTAGCGGTTCACAGCATCCTCGATGTCCCAGTCCACGGCGTGGGACTTGGGGTCAATCTCGTACCCTGCGAGGACCCACAGCCTGTGAGGCCCTGGCACAGCCACCACCTGTTGATCACGCAGCCGTGACAGAGCTCCCAAGAGCAGCAGGACGTGACCCCTTCCTCCCTCCCCAGCACAGTCCTGCACCAGCGCCCCAGCACCGAGCAGTGCAGCATGGATCTCAGCAAGCACAACAGACCCCAGGGCCCATTACCCCAGAAAACACCCTGGGACGCTAGCAGTACAACAGGAAGAGGATCTGCCCCCACGGCCAGAGGGCTTTCCCCAGGCCAGGTGACCCCTTCCTCCCTCCCCAGCACAGTCCTGCACCAGCGCCCCAGCACCGAGCAGTGCAGCATGGATCTCAGCAAGCACAACAGACCCCAGGGCCCATTACCCCAGAAAACACCCTGGGACGCTAGCAGTACAACAGGAAGAGGATCTGCCCCCACGGCCAGAGGGCTTTCCCCAGGCCAG